ATCTTTGTGATTATACATTATAACATATCAATGATGTTGTGAGTTGGCAAGCATGAAATGCCCAATGTTGCAATTAAAAGAGAAGGAAGTATATTTATCTGCCTTTTATATCAAACATTGTTCCCTATTAGTTCATGCTATGAACCTCAGAGTCACATCTAGAGTCACATTGCATCTTGAATCCTGAATTTTTTTGGGTTGATATTCTTGCACTGAGATTGAGGTTTTTGCTATAATTCTCAACAGGAGTCACATCCAGAGTCTAACCTCAGAGTTCCCGCAATCGTTGATACTCTTGAAAAGTTGGAGCTTACTCCAAAGGTAATTACTAATAAGCCTTTGTTTTTCTTTACTGTTAGTATGTGCATTCATGACATAAACCTTAAGACTACAGCCTGTTCACCATATTATTTTTTCACAACGGTTCTATATTAGATTTCTCAGAGTTTATGTTACTTATTTGGAACATTCACTTGCATCTCAATTATTGGAATTTGAGTAGTGTAGTAACATGCAATTAAAATGGTCAGAGGAAAGGGATATTGATAAACTGGTTGCATTAGGAGAATTTAGACTATGAAATTAGCTTTAAAAGTTTGAAGGTGTGACTCAAGGGAGGGCTTGAGGGTCCTTATAATGTTCCTTTATTATGAAACTAAAGTCGCAAAATTAGAAGATTTTTCTATTTACATGGTTGTATATGCTATTTGGTGATTGTGAAACTAGAGTAGCCTGGTACAATCTTCATAGTTATATGGTGATTGTGAAACCCTCATATTTACTTTTATCATGTCCTTCGAATTTCTTTTCTTTATTTTTGAAGATTATGTTGGCAAAATGGAGATGTTTTGTCCTTTACTCAGTTCTTTACATTTTTTCACAGAGGAAAATTGTGAAGGATCTGACATATTCGTGTTTATTTATTTAGTATTGAGTGCCTTGTAGCTTGTAGAGTCTATGTTAATAGAACTACACCCCTTGTGATAACGATTTCTAATTCCGTGGTCTTAGTTAAAAGTTCCATATTGAATGAACACACTAATTCAGAAGCAATAATAACGTGTTGGAAAAGTTTATACCTGTAGAAGTTATATTTTATTCCTCTGTAACATATGGATTTAATAAAAGGTTATGAGTTGGGAAAGACTCATTACCCACCTTTAAATATATGGCTGTTTGATTATGTATTGAAACTATATAAAGGGCGTTATAGCCGACATTGTAGACACATTATATATTTATGAATACTTGAATAGAATCTAGGATTGCTAGCTGGGGCATTTAGGGGCATATATGTGAAATGGAACAATTGTGAATGATTTATATCCTAAGTTGCTAAGTAGGAAAGTCTATACAAGTCAGATATGTCAATTCTTAATAATGTTAAATTTCTTGTTAATCTTTTTATTACTATTACTCTCCAAGTCTCCATATTCTGCTGACTGGTACTTTTGACTTGTGTATGGCAGTATCGCAACTCAGAAATAATTGAGATCCAGCATTTTAATCCGGCTTCAGTGGAAGATATAAGTAGTGTTCATGAAAGAGCCTATGTATTAGGTCTTGAGAAGGTCAGTGTAATTTAACTCTTCCAGTTCTGTATATATTAGGTTAGAAGCTTTGTCTGAATTATGTTCGTAACATATGCATCGTATTTTTGAAGCAAACCTCAGGCCCCAAGCCCCCCCCCCCCCCACACACACATATCTTTCTGTATGCCCGAGTAAATGCTTTAGTAAGTCAGAATAACTCTCTGAGAAGATCTTTTTGGCTACTCCCTCATTTTGAATTTTCTATCTTCATCTATGACAATTCACAAGTGTTCGCATATCAAAGAAGATGGCCATCTTAATACTTGCATTAAATTTCTGAACACTCAGCTGCCTCACCTTATGTCAGGAATTTCATATGGAAGCAGCTGGCAGCCTCATGTTTAGTGTCTACCAGTCATGAAAATGTTTTTGCAGGAAAAAAATTTCTAGGAATAGCTTCGGTGTTTGTAAAATCCTTGATTTCTTCGAGCCTAACCATTGAGTTCCACTTACAATTACAAAATCACCTCTTTGTTTCCCTTTTTTTTTATTTATTTATTTTTTATTATTATTATTATTATTATTGTTATTATTATTGTTATTATTGTTGTTATTGTTGTTGTTGTTGTTGTTGTTGTTGTTGTTGTTGTTGTTGTTGTTGTTGTTGTTGTTGTTGTTGTTGTTGTTAGGTGAATGGATGTGCTAGTTCTATAAACTTTGTTTTCTAGGTAATGGAAAAGGCTTCAGAACAAGGCATTCTTTTCATTGAGGGGTCTGGACCAACATATGCCACGGCCTCTGTAAGACTACTGAGCTTATCTCTTTTTTGTCCGTTGTGTGTGTGTGTCACTCTTGTCTTGGTTCACAATTTTCCTATGCGATTATGCCCCCCCCCCCCTCCTACTACCAGGGTCAATGTGAAAGAATAGGGAAAAGTTTTAACAGATTAATTAAGTAATTTTGCTAGATACTCCATCCTTGGTCTTCAGTAATTTATCTAACAACATTTTACTGTTCTGCAGACATTTCAAGACTCATTGCTTGCAGCTGGAGCAGGATTAGCTGTTGTTGATGCCGTGGTGAGATCCCAATCATTTTATTACTAGTGTGTGGGAGGATTTATGAGGCGTTATGAAAAAACCTAGGAATTATGACCACACGTACCAACTATTAACTCACTGTTCTGTCTTCCCAGTAAGATTATTTTACTGCAGCCAAAAATATATATTTGACTCCAAGGACGAGCATGTGAACACTTTTTTCTTGTGGCATGCCTAACGACTCAACATACTATGAGAATTTGATTTACTTTTGTGGTCTTTTTTCCAACATTCCATGCTAGTAAATACTTTGTAGAAACTATGTAAAATAGTTAACTGACCGAATATTATCAGGATATTTAGGTGGCTGCATCTAAAAAGTCTCCAGAGCCTCCATCTGGATTTGCTTTGATTAGGCCTCCTGGTCACCATGCTGTTCCAACGGGGCCTATGGGCTTTTGTGTTTTCGGAAATATTGCTGTCGCTGCTCGCTATGCTCAGCGAGTTCATGGATTAAAACGTGTTTTCATCATTGATTTTGATGTTCACCATGGCAATGGCACGCATGATGCATTTTACGAGGACCCAGATATATACTTCCTTTCAACTCATCAGGTGAACCTTTGTTCCTGCTTTGCTGTGCCTTATTAGTAAAAAATAATGAATTCTTGATTATTTTCAGCTTTTCGCACTTGCTTGCTGTGGACGAACTAATGCAAATTAATGTGCTTCTTATCCATTATTATACATAATGGGAAACGGAATGGGTTAATAAACCTAGTTTGATAGTTGAGAACCAAAAGCAACTTGGTTTATAGTCTTTATACTATGCAGTTTTATTTATTGCTTAGGGGCAGATGTGTATCCAGTAGTAACTCTATGCACTTTAAGGTGGAAAGATGTAGGGATGGAAAGAAGTATGAAGACCAACATGTGATCGAAAATGTATATTGTTTGGTTGTAGGCTCTTTTATCCCCAAGTACACAAATCTGTATTTAAGGTACATGACCTTTGGTGTGAGATTCACAAATGTAGCTTGCTGGTTTCTTTTATGTAATACTGTTCTTTTGGGCAGTTTTCCTTGATCTACATACATCTTAATGAGGCTGGCCTTTAGTACAGTAGCTGGTTTGTTTCCTGAAAGGTGCTTGTTCCATATGTTATCATATCTCTATGTCCGTTCTCTTTTCCTTTTATTTTCCCTAATCTCTTACAAGCACCATATACAGTATTATATATGATACTAAAAAACCAGACTTGTATGCAGGGTGACAACTGACTTTGTGTTGCTTCTAAGCTATCATATTTAACCGATTGGAATGCTCATATTCCGTAGTTGAATAAAGCAGTGGTTAAGAATTTTAAATGATGATAATATCTTCACAGAACTTAAAGAAATATTTGAATTTGATCATGTCTGATGTTTCTCAGTTAAATGTTTAAATGAGGCTGGCAGGCTACGGCTGCTGATCCTCCATAGATGTTTACTCAAAATTTTAATAATCAACACAGGATGGGAGCTACCCTGGTACAGGAAAAATTCATGAGGTAGGCAGTGGCAAAGGGGAAGGAACTTCATTGAATTTGCCATTGCCAGGAGGATCTGGAGATGTTGCTATGAGAACTGTCTTTGACGAAGTTATTGTGCCATGTGCTCAAAGATTCAAGCCAGACATAATCCTTGTATCTGCTGGGTAAGCAGGCTAATCACCTGTACTGCATTCTTATTCATGGTCAATTCTGCCAAGCACAGCTGTTGTAGTGTAGTGTAGTGTGTATCATAAATTCATAATTTCGCTTCTACTGCATTTTTTATTTGTATGCAGTTACGATGGACATGTCTTGGATCATTTAGCTAGTCTTCAGCTCACGACAGGAACTTACTACATGCTTTCTGCTAGCATAATACAACTAGCCAAAGAACTATGTGGAGGGCGCTGCGTGTTCTTCTTGGAAGGGGGATACAATCTCCAATCTCTGTCTTATTCAGTAGCAGACACATTCCGTGCTTTCCTGGGTGAGCCTAGCCGTGCATCAGAATTTGATAATCCGGCTTTTCTGTATGAAGAACCATCAACCAGAATCAAACAAGCCATTCAAAAGGTGAAGGCTATACATTCCTTGTAGACTTGGTAACGATCAAGTAGTTATAAAGCAAATACTTATTGTAACCGAGCCTTAGTCTATTTGTAAATAACGAAGTACATGGTATTACTTTGTTGTATTATACTAAATCAAATTAACAGAAAATATATACAAGTATGACATGTATATTTGTATAATCTCTTGATCTTCATATAAAGGTTTAAAGGGATGCAATGTCTATTCCAAAAGTTGTCCTCATAGCTACTTGGCCAAATGCCCAAATGTGGTGTGGCATAAATCGTTGTTCATACTTTCCAATCGAAACTTTAGTAGATTAATTGACACATGCAACACATACTAGCCCTTAAGGCTACAAATGAGAATTCAATACATTTTGTAAAATGATACGGAGTACTTCATATTAATTTAAGAATACTTGATATAAATTACGGGTTGACTAGTATAATCAATATATTGTTTTCATTTAATATATCCAATTGCGACTTTTATATCGCCCTTGCAATTTCAATTTATCACCCCTTGCCGACTGCTGAACTAAAACAAAAGCTGCTGCCAAGTCTCGAACATGGGACTAATTGCCAAACCCAGAAAGCTTCACTTACAGTTGCAGCTTCTTAAGATTAAAAAGGAGCCAACTTTGAATTTAAATTGTTTCAACATTTGAATTATGGGATGGCAAGAAATGTGCTTGTTAAGCAAGAATTTGAAACCCTATCTTTCTCAAATTCATCACCTTTTGCCAAATTATTGGATTGGTGCATTCGATCAAACTCTGTGCGTCATGGCCGCTGTGTTCATGCTCGAATTCTTAAATCCCAGTTTGTATCTGAGATTTTTATTCAGAATAGGCTGGTTGATATGTATGGTAAATGTGGGTTTGTTGAGGGTGCACGTAAACTGTTCGATAAAATGCCTCACAGAAACATTTTTACTTATAATTCAGTTTTAAGTGCTTTAACGAGGTGGGGTTTTCTTGATGAAGCTGTTGATGTGTTTTTGGATATCCCTGAACGTGATCAGTGCTCATGGAATTCGATGGTATCCGGGTTTGCTCAGCATGATCGGTTTGAAGAGGCAGTCGAGTATTTTGTGGGGATGCATAGAGAGGGTTTTGAGCTGAATCAGTACTCATTTGGTAGTGTGCTTAGTGCTTGTGCTGGGTTAGTGGATTTGGATATGGGGATTCAAGTTCATGCATTGATGTTGAAGTCTCCGTTTTTTAAGGATGTGTATATGGGGTCTGCTCTTGTTGATATGTATGCTAAGTGTGGTGAAGTGGAATGTGCCCGAAAGGTTTTCGATGGGATGGTTGATAGGAACCGGGTGACATGGAATAGTTTGATTACATGTTATGAACAAAATGGTCCTGTGAGTGAAGCTGTAGAAGTGTTTGCAAATATGATGGATCATGGGGTGGATCCGGACGAAGTTACACTGGCTAGTGTGGTTAGTGCTTGTGCAACGTTAACGTTAGTTAGGGAAGGTAGGGAAATTCATGCTTTGGTTGTGAAAAAGGATAAATATAGGAATGACCTTATCTTAAGTAATGCATTGGTTGATATGTATGCAAAATGTGGTAGAATTAATGAAGCCAAATTCATCTTTCAAAGTATGCCATCAAGAAATGTGATATCTGAGACAACTATGGTGAGTGGTTATGCGAAAGCAGCAAATGTGGAGACTGCAAACTTTTTGTTTATGAATATGATGGATAAGAACATAGTATCCTGGAATGCACTTATGGCAGGTTATGCACAAAATGGAGAAAATGAGAAGGCATTGAGCTTGTTTCGCTTATTGAAGAGGGAGTCTGTTTTACCTACTCATTATACTTTTGGGAATCTCCTCAATGCTTGTGCAAATCTTGCAGATCTGAATCTTGGCATGCAGGCTCATGTACATTTGTTGAAACATGGATTTTGCTTTCGTTCTAGACCAGAGTGTGATATCTTTGTGGGGAATGCTCTTATAGACTTGTACATGAAATGTGGGTCGGTTGAAGATGCATTGCTGGTTTTCAAATGTATGGTGGAAAGAGATCATGTTTCATGGAATTCAATGATTGTAGGCTATGCTCAAAATGGACATGAGATTGAAGCTCTTGAGATGTTCAAGAAGATGATAATATCTGGTCAGAAACCTGATCACATAACAATGATTGGAGTTTTGTGTGCTTGTAGTCATGCTGGTTTGTTGGAAGAGGGTCGCCACTATTTCCGGTCAATGTTTAAGTCGCATGGTTTGGAACCATGGAAGGACCATTACACATGTATGGTTGATCTGCTTGGTCGAGCTGGTTGCTTCGGTGAAGCAATAGATTTAATTGAGACTATGCCAATTCAGCCTGATTATGTTGTATGGGCTTCTCTGCTTTCTGCTTGCAAGGTTCACAGAAATGTTGACATGGGGAAGTACGTGGCAGAGAGGCTATTGGGAATCGATCCTACTAATTCTGGTCCTTATGTTCTTCTGTCAAACATGTATGCAGAACTTGGAAGGTGGACGGATGTATCTAGTGTTCGTAAGCTTATGATACAGAAGGGAGTTGTTAAGAAGCCTGGTTGTAGCTGGATTGAAATACAAAGCCATGTACATGTGTTTATGGTTAAAGACAAAAGTCACCCACAGAATAAAGAGATTTACTTGGTGTTGAAAAATCTAACCAACCAAATCAAACTTGCTGGATATGTTCCTGACCCTATTGATTCAGAGATTGATGAGGAAGAAATCAGTTATGCAGCTGCTTTATATCATTCAACAGATATATAACCAGCTGCTGGCTTTTAGGTGAGCCTCTTGTGATATGCCATATGCTTTCATTTCTAATCATAATGTAATTTGTGGTTAAAATTTTAAAGCTTCTTTATGTTGGAAACTAAATAATCTAGTAGTGTTTTTATATGATTTGCTTGCCGTTTACATGATCTAAATGCTCTGTCATCCCAAGTATTGTAGACCCGTTACATGTTTCTTCCTATTAGCTAACTTCTATGCCTACTTCACATCCTTGTTCTATGAACTACTAACCAAATGGTTGAAATTAGAACTATTTTAGCTCTTTGGTTCTTGCATTTCCTCTTTCTATCAGGGACCTATTAATACTCTAGATATTAGCAAAATTCATAGGGATACTTGAGAACTGGAAAATAACTAAATAAGAATAGAACGGTGTGGATTATTATCTTTGGGTAGGTAACTTACTGTATTCATCCCACCTTTTTTCTAAAGAGCTGCATTTGCTTTTAGTAATGTCAAGATGTGTCACTGTAACCAAATTGAAGAAAATCAAGAGCTAGGCTTAGCTTGCCTGTGAGAGTTCAGCATCTTCTTGAAATCAATGCTTAAATTAAAAGTGGAGTTTGGGATTTCATATTGTCAGGACAGAATTCCTCCATCTGCTGGTTCTGTTGACTTAAGAAAAATATTGATTTCAAGAGTTATGCGCCCAATTGCACAGCATCAATGCATAGTACGTTAAACTTTTAATAGAAATCTGGTAGTTATTGGTTCTACTTGTTCAAAATTGCAGGGAATATGAGTATTGGAATTGGTTGGTCAATTAGACATGTATATATATGAGCTATAAGGTGAATGGTGGTGTACAGAATTCAATTTTACAATACAGTCCATATGACATATGCATGAGCTATGTTAAGTTAAATCATTTGTATGAGTGTATTAAAGGTGTGATTAGTGACCTAAACAAGATATTCTGCCATGACTTGTGTACAAACTTGTAGATTGGGTTTTTAGTCTTGGCATCTGCTGCTTTGTCTTTTTTTTTTTTTTTTTTTTTTCTTTTCATCTTATAGTTTTTCCATGCAATTTAAGAGTTACAATTGAAGAATGAAAATCATTTAGAAGTGAATTTAATGTGCTAAAGACAATATTGTAGATGTTGTATTCCGGTTATTAATGACCATTATCTTTTACTAACAAAAAACAATGGAATTCAGTTACATGGAATTATCTGATTGCAGATACCTCCGTTTGGGATGTTGATTTTTAAGCATAAAGCATGGAGATCATCTGAACCATGGTAAGTTAAGAGCATGTCATTGCATCTTTCTTGATCATTCATTCAATGTCCAAAATTTGCTTCGTAATTCTTCGTATCTTGATCATCTGGTAAGCTGATTCTTCTAATAAACTTTGTTGCTTCTAATAAGAATAAGAATAAGGGTTTCCTTATTGTAGTTTCTTGATTTATTAGAGGTATATCTAGTTATACTCCATATCCAATTGTATTGCGTTTTTTTAGGCTCACAATAGTATTGGGTTTTTTTAGGCTCACAATAGTATTAGAGGTAGTTTCTTGATTTATTAGGCTCACAATAGTATTGGGTTTTTTTCATTTTTGGATTGAATTCCATACTTTTGATTTGGACAGATTTGTTTTGTTCATCTATTCATATTGCTATGAAGAATTATTTAGTGTACTTATGAGATGAAATACATGAAATTATTAAGATTAGTACCTTTCACTGAACATCATTTTAGAGCTTCCAAACTTGTGGACCCTAAACATTTTACCTGCTTTAGGAAAAACAATATACGAGGACAAGGGATGATTCTATTATGTGCCAAAGCTGTCAAGACATTTCAAAGAAGACAAAACTAAAATGAAGTTATGGCTTATGAGCCACACATTTCCTTGCTCGTGAACCTCTATTTAGGTATGATGTGCTTCTAGTGATTAAAAAGAAGAATAGAGGAAAAGAGAGAAGTGTATCCAAACAAAGTAGCAAAAGTGGTTCACAAACTATATTTCTTCATCTTTACTCTTTCCTTATTTTGTTTTCAGTCTTTCTGTGGAACACATTACATGTTTAAGACAATTTACGATACTAAATAAGGTCCTCTACTCCTTTTTTAAAAAGGTCGAACTATCACTAGATTTGGCATGCTTGGTTTGGGACTAAGGCTTTGTTGTTATTGACCCACTCCATCCATCATTTTACTATTCTCTTCTCACCTTTTTCTTACACTCCTTTTCTCTTATAATCAAGAGTTTACAATAAGATTGTTTCTGTCAAAAAAAAAAAAAGAGTTTAAAATAAGATTGTAAAAAAAAGGGAGGGAAGGAGGGAGGGAGTATGCTGCTTTTGGAGCTAGATTGATGTCCATAGGAAATTGACGAGTACCGATGAATCAGATGCTTAATTGCTTAAATTAATGGAAGATCTGAACTTCTGCTGTAGCAGATACAGTTATAAAAATTTTAATTTACTATAGAGTGATAATTTTTTGAGAACATAAATTTCTGTTTTTAATTTTTTGTCGTTAGGTACCTTTCAGTACTGACTAGTACAATAGCCAACTTAGTCTTGGACTACCTGATGTGGAACCGGATAAGCACACAGAAATTAGGGGACTATATAAAAACATCGTAAAATGTTTGAAGTTAATGAGCAGTGTGATGCAGTATACTTATTATTACAGTATGATTATAGTTCAGGTAAAAATGGTTCCTGATACCAGTAGCTTAAATGGCTACATTGAAAAAGATTAAAATAGAAAGCTTGCTATCTAAATACACAATTTCTTGTTAAAATAAGAGCAAAACAACGTAAGCAACAAAATTAGCACCCAAGAAAACTACTGGAACTAAACCACTCAGCTGTAAGTTTTTTTTTTTTTTTTTTTTTTTTTTTTTTTTTTTTTTTTTTTTTTTTTTTACAACACCCACTTGCGAAACCCAAACAAGTCCTCTTCATCAATAATTAATTAGTTACCATGTGATAGTGTAGAGTCTTCACATGAGACTGCGACGGTTCTTTTGCTGTAAATTTGTTTACTTGCGTGATCCGGTGGGCCACGACACCTTGAGTTGTAGGCTCTTTCAGCCTCATTTTTCCCTTCCTTTGGCCTCTGGTCTCTTTTAGAGTTTCACCTTATACAGCAAACCTATTAGTTGCATGAGACAAAGAGGAAGAGGAGCAAAAAGAAAAGGTTAGAATAGTGCCTTGGACATAGCAAAAACTTAACTATTGCTCAAATAGAAGCAGTCTGGTTTGTTTTGTTGTTTGCAAAATTTCTAAAGGAAAGAACTGTTGTTATGTACTCCATCTGTACTTTAGAAAAAACACTGCATTGTTATTTCTCTCTTTCTATTTTGATCATAAAAAATTATTTTTCAAAATAAAAATTTAGCACCTGATTTTCCTCTTCATAAAGTTGTGAATGCTTATTATAATGTGTATGCAATCTGATAGCTATCTGTAGTCCCCATAACCTGTCAATTAGAGTTATTAGATCAGCTTCATCACTAAGAGTTGTTAGTCTTTAAGTGCACCAGGGAACATATGCACTGAAATTATGTGGCAACAATTTTTGCTCATCCCTAATTGTTACACTTAATTATTTCCTAAACAATAATTTTTTTTTTACAAAAAAAAAAAAAATGTTACCTAATAATATGCCAGAAAAATAATTAATTAAGATGTCGAAAATGATGTTTACCAAGGAAAACTTAGCTTTCTGATATTTTCAATTTTTGTTTTGGGTTCGAATGAACCACAAGGGCATTACAAATTACAAATGGGGGAGGGGGATTCTTGATATCATTGCTCTGCTAACATCTTCGAAAGAATATTAATTGAAGTATCAAGACCCTATACAATTATGACTTTGCTGAATGTAAGACTGATTGTATTGATGTATAGAGAAAGACAAAGGTAAAGAGATTACCATTTTCAAACAATAGAACCCTTGAAAGTCCTTTTGGAGCATTTACATCTGAGAATGACATAAGATATGAACCTGTACAGCAAAATGAAGCACACCGTAATCAACACATTCATCCATCTATTCTGCTCACCTAAGCCTTCCTCCTTTAGGACATCCTTCCCACTCATCACACACATCCCAAACATGCTCTCCAAACACTCTGTTGACCCCGAAAATTCGTTGATTAGGAACCCTTCATAAGGGTACTTAAACAAGGACAGATAATGCATCCCAATCCAATATTTTGGGATTTGCTTCTTTGATATAAAGTAGCCTGAGAACAGAAAAAATGATCCCATCACACCAGAAATTAAAGAGTTTCCAACTATAAAATTTGGCACCAGTGCACTAAAACACACCACAACTGAATTAGCAGTGTAGAGGATTAACCATATGAGCAGTAAGAAGTGTGCAAATGCCATGAACTCCGGCTTTAGACCCACTAACCAATACACTGGAACTGTGAATAAAATGGCTAGGATGAGCAAAAATGGGAGGTACACTATGGCATTTGCAATGACATAAGAAGAGACTCGATAGCTCCCTGAGGAGGTTTCCTTCATTAGTATGTCTCTCTCCTGCAGGAAAATAGGCAGTGCTTCAGTGGTGCAGGTCAGCAAAAATGTTAAGATAAATGCGAATAATCCAACCCTTTCAAATGCCCCTTCCAAATTATGCTTAAGATCATAGAATATAGACCCTAACACCAGCCCTGAAACCAGCATCTGTAGGGTCCTGCAGGCAAACAGCTCTTTTGTCCTGAGAACAAGCTTAGAAAATCTGTGACTAAGGATAACTATTTCCCTCAACCTGGAGTTAGCAAAATTGTGGGTTTCAAGCTCAATTCCCATGTATGCACTCTCTTCATCCATCACCTTAGATTGCTGAAAGAGCTGTTGAAGGGTCTTTCTCCTCTGCTGTGGGGCAGCTGCAGGAGCTGCTTGTTGCAGTGATGAAGCTGAAATTTCTTCCTCTTGTTGTTGTTGGATTGTTTCCAGGTAATCTATTGCAAATTCTACAATGTTACAATGAGGGAGGAGCTCAAGACCCATTAGTCCAAGCTTGGACCCAAGCTGATCAACTGTGCCATGGTGCAGAACTGTGCCATTTGATAATAACAAGATTGAATTAATCTGCTTCACAATGCGAAAACCAGGTTGATGGATGCTCAAAATGATCGTTCGACCTCTAGTTTCTGCCATATTTTTCAACATATCAATAATTTGCAGTGCTGAGGTACTGTCAAGCCCTGATGTTGGCTCATCCAGGATTAGCACCTTAGGGTCATGGATCACATCAACACCAATGGAGACTCTCCTGCGCTCTCCTCCAGAGATTCCGCGTATCCCATCATTTCCCACCCGGGTATTTGCCACATGATCAAGTCCTAGCTCTTGCATTAATGACTTCACCTTGGAGCTTAATTCCGAAGGCGGGAGTTTTAGCCTCAATTTTGCACTAAACATCAGTGTTTCCTCCACAGTAAGGAGCGGGAACAGCATGTCTTTCTGAGTAACAAACCCTGAAATCTTGTTATAGTTGGCTGCTTCAATTGCATTGCCATTAATGAGAATTGAACCAGCTTGTGGGGTGAGCTTGCCTGCTAGTATTTCAAGCAAGGAAGATTTCCCTGCACCACTCGGCCCCACGATAGCGAGGATTTCCCATGGCTTTGCTCTGCAATTCACCTGGTTTAGCACTGTTCTCACTCCAGAAGAAGATGTTGTTTGATGAACTTGTTGATCAGTCTCTCTCTTGAAGATGCTAAATGGGTTTTCATTGTTATGGCCGTAGATTTTGTAAGTTATGCCTACTGCTTCAATCTCACACCCTTGTTTCTTCATTGAGCTATAGTCTCTAGAAGAATATTAGGTACTCTCTCTCTCTCTCTCTTTCTCTCTGTCTGTGTGTGTCTTTATAGCTGCTTCTGTATTTTTCTAATCTATGTTTCTGAAGTTTTATAGCTGGAAGTGGCGGAGTTGAATATGTTGGTTGTTGTTTCACACAAAATCGACGTAACACATTCTTTATTGTACACCCTATTTTTAAAAGTCGGTTTTTAATAATTTTGAGTAAACTTTTTCATTCATATACGGAGTAACGACTAAGGTAACACTAATACATAAACGTATATTCATAACACATTCAGTTTTATAAACACAAAAATCTAGCTCATAACACATATATTCAAAATCGACTTACTACAATTGTATTGTGCATCCGCTGCACGCAAGATGGTACATCGTTCTCGAATAATGGGGTGTTTAATATGTTTTGGCTGGAGCCTGGGGTATAACTGAAAACAGTGAGTGGTGTTCTACTATGCTCTTGTGACTGATATAAGGATTCACGTGCTCTGTTACAAGTAGCTGTTCTTTCTTATTTGCGTCTTAAAATGAAATTTGGAGGTTGGCTTTGGAAAATTGTATAGTTCACATGCTAAGCTAAAGTTTGGCATTGGCATTATTTACTTGTAGTTTATTTTGTTTTGGTTGTTGTTTTGTGATTTTAATAATGATGTATACATTTTTAATTTGTTTGCAATTACAATCCCAATCAATCATTATGTAGTCACGGGTGTGACAATTTTTATTTTCTAATACTATATGTTCTATATCCTAGCATGACTAAGAAGCAATATAAATACAATTAGATGTAAGCCCGTGCGATGCACGGTTTTTTTGTATATTATTTTTGTAATTTCTTATTATCTTTTATATTAGAAGTAGAATATTTTTAAAAAATAATTAAAAAAATTAATTTTTTTAATAGAATTAAAAAATCTTTTGATCGATCTAAATGATTTTATTTAACCACCCGACGAATGAGATAATATTTTCATAGTTTATTTCAATTTAACAAATTCATGTTTTGCATACTTGACTAATGAATAAGAATAATTTTTTTTTTTAAAAAAAAAAACTTAAGTTGATTTTTCTGTTTGGTATGCTCAACAAAATATTATTCCAAAGCTTTACATAAACTTGTTTTTCCTAATAAATATTTCAATAAGAACATTAAAAAAATTACACATAAGCAAAATGTAAAAAAAAATTATTAGATACACATAAATATATGTAAGAATATTATTAAAACCTAATAAAAATATCGATATAATTGTTGCGAAATAGATCTAAAAATTGTAAATGTATAAAATCAAATCTATGCATTGGAATTTTTTCATCATTAATTATTGAATCATTATTTTGTTGTCGATATGACAACGCGATATTGCTTATTATTTGGAACGACTGAAAAGTTTCTAATAGAGTAAACATTTCATAGTCTTCAATCAAGTTTGGACGAAAATGTTCAACACAGTTGGCTTTAAATTGAGGCATGAACTTGTGTAATCACCCTGAAATTAAAAATAAGAAATTAAATTATTTTAATAAGTTGATTATGCAATCCAAATCACAATATTTGTTTTTAAAAATACCTCTTCGTCCAATATTACCATATCCAGACTTATTAAGCTATTTTGTTTGCGGAAATTTAGTACATCAAACAGGTGGAAAAACTCGTACTTTGAATTTTTAATCATTTTTGCTCGAATTTAATTCTTTGATCTGCATGTAAAAACGAAATTCATCAAACAAAACATAAACATATGAAATTAAGCTAAAAAGTACCCTACCATTGATGACCTAAAATTGACACAAAATTACCAATACAAAATTCTCTAGATGCGAATTTTGTATAAATATGAAATTTTGTTGGTGTCTTATATGTGTCAATTTATAACAGTAGGTATAAAAAAATTTAATTTAATTAAGATTAATGAACAATTTCTTATCATAAACACTATCAAAATTTATCTTATAATGATACTTTATCATTTAAATATAATTTTTTTCGGAGGTATTATTTAGTATTTGTGATATAGTGTCACAAGCTAGATAATTTTCCCTTAAATTTTTATTTGACCGAAAGTGTTAAGTATTAAAGTGGAATTTTCATACTTATTATACTTTAATGGTAAAAAAAAAATCATTTATAAGATAATTTTGATTCGGTTGCATTATTAAAGTGGAGTTGTCATTCCTATTCTATGTTGGTAAAATTTGTGCACTTTTCTTTTTAAGAATTTTTTTTTAAAAAAAATTATTATAAGACAAATAAAGATAATGATAGATGAAAATTATTATAAGATAAATAAAGATAATGATAAATAAAATTTGTGGTTTTTCATCCACGTGGCATTAAAATTTTATAAGATAAATATCATATCTTATTCGCTACTTTTACCTACGTGGCGATACAATTTTTTAATGTGGCATTAAAATTTTATAAGATAAATACCATATCTTATTCGCTACTTTTACCTACGTGGCAATACAATTATTTTATTCAAAATTAAAATAAAAATCTAATTTATCATTGGACGAAATATTTACATTTCTTATGTGGCGCTCCGAATGCTTCCGAAAAATGCCTACTTTATTTATATATATTAGATTATAACTACCAGTAGTTGTTTATTTTTAATTATTATTATTTTTTAATAAGATAAAGAGCATATGATTTACGGTTATTTTTTAAAAAAAAAAACTAGATTTAATTATATACTGTATGGAGTATCAGTTTTTATCTTTTTAAGGAGGTTAAGTGACTGAATACCAAAAATAAACCATTGATCAGCCACATATTTACATACATTAAAAAATGTGTTAAATTTTATTTTTTTTTTTTGAAAGAAAAAAAAATGTGTTAAAATAATTCAGGACATTATTTATAATTGAATCATATATGGTACAACCAATCATAATATTTTTTTAAAAAAAAACTTAATTTTAATTTTATAATTTATTTATTATGTCCTTGCTAGGTCACATTTGACAAAAGTTTTTGATTTATTTACAAATGTCACTAGATAAACACTTTTTTGTTATCATGAAGATGAACTTGTATTTTCTCCTAGTTTTTGTGATATGAATCAAGTTTGTATTCGATGCCCAAAGTATGATTAATGTCAATGAAAGAATAGGGGCCAAGTGTTTCTCTCAAGGGTGTAACCATGGATAGGACATAGTGGCCGTAAAAAAAATTATATTCTTCAGCAAGCGAGTTTATAATCATTAGTTTCAACACTAAACTCATAACCATTGAACTATATCATATTACATGTAAATTTTTTATTTTGTACATAACACTACAAATATAATTTGTTTAAACAATGCCTACCAGCTACCACTGAATTGTTTGACCTCAAAAACAAATTATTTCATTAATAATGATCAACCCAACCTTATAAAAAGTTTGACCTAACTCTAATAATTATTCCAAGGGCCTGTATTTATTGACTGAACTGAGCTGAGCTGAGCTGAACTGAACTGAATATTTTATAAGAGAAGGAAATTAGGAGCTAAATTGAGCTGAGCTGAACTGAAATGAAATAAACTGAATTTCAACGTAAGAGAACAGGCCCCAAATCGAAAGAATTCTCGGACATAATAGATATTACGTGTCGCGGTGTCGTGCTCATTAGCCACTCATTAATAATAGTGATCAATGAATGATTAGTGTGATTGGGTTGGGCTAAGAACCGAGTTTGCCTTTGACTAACTAACCGTAGACTCGTAGGGTGAGTGAGAACCCAAACTCAATTTGGGGTCAAACGCCATTTGGAAGAGAGGTTTAACTTTGTTAGGGTTTATCTGCTAAATCTCAACAAAAATGCAGAGAAGATGTACGACGCCATTGATGCACTCACTTCGAAGCTTTAGCACCACCACTAGTAGTACTACCACTAATAAGATCGTCGCTTCTGTGCTCTTCGAAAGGCTTCCTGTTGTCATCCCCAAAATCGACCCTGTTATTTACGCTTTTCAGGAATTCTCGTAAGCCCTAATTTTTACTACGTACTTTTTTCCGATTTCAATTTGTTGAAGTGAAAATGTAATGTTTGTCATTTTTCATTGTTTATTTTAATTCGGGATCAAATGAACTTGGAATTGAAAAGGTTGTTACTTGATTTTTGGTGATTGAATGATGAATTTGATGAAAGTTTAAATGTATATGGTATAATGAATCTGAAAGTATGATTTTAGAGTTATGATTGTGATTTCTTGAACACATTTTCGGAAAAAAGAAAGATTTATCGGGTGCATTTTTAGGGGAAATTATTGCCTTTTTGCTTGATGATTGAATAATAAAGTTGATGAATTGCAGATATTTGTAAGGTTGAACAAAGTTGGACTTCCAATTATGAATTTTAGGGGTACATTTTAGTATAAGATGAATTGGGTTTAGGGGCAGTTCTTGCCTAGAGCTCAGAACAAGTGGTTAAGCAAATGCTATATGAGTCACACTTCCTACGGTGCGTCAAAAGAAAAGTCATTTCGGCTTCGATTTTGTGACCTTTGATCGGTTTTGCTCAGAAGATAATTAGTGTAGGAGTTAATTTAGAAGTTAGTCTTTTCATTGGAAGCTTAAGAGGATGGTTCTAGTCTACAGAGGATGAGGACGGATTTGAAACAGCTATGGTTAATAGGCCATTGTTCTGTAACTCTACTAGCCTAATTTATAATTGTCAGCAAGAATGAATATTAGTTTGAACACTGCTCTATATTATATACGTAGTAGGACTTTGAATAGCTTCAAAGCTGAAACTGATATATATCATGTTGCTTGAAATTTGGACGATTGCTAGGTTACTTTTACATTGGCACTGGGTTAGGATAAATATAACATCTGGCAATTGTATTAAGACTCTTCATTATGTCATGTATAATTGCGTATGTATTCGTGTTAGATAAATAGCGTGACATGGTCTCATAGCCTCATAGGTATGGTCACTTGACACTTTATTTTGGACTGGAAACATGCAAACTTTAAAATAGCTGGTTTTGGAATGGCAGAAAATGGTCACACAATGAAAAATATGGTGTTTCTAGGATGGGACTAAACCTTATCGAGTGTTCTCAGGAAAGAAGATAGGAAGGAGGATTGGTAGAACTGTAGAAGCTTCATTTCAAGTTCTACATCATGAATTATCTATTGCTCACTTTCTTTATACATGGAAAATATTGTCATGCAAATCACTGCATTTGTTGAGACCTCGTATCTTCTTGGCTCCCATCTGTGAGTAAGTGAAATATAATGCCCCGTATTCTGCTGGATATGATTAATGATGCAAGATTTTCAGAAAATTATGCTATTAAATGTAATAACTTCCGCATATACTGTATTGTATTAAATTCTTCTATGTCCTACATAGATAAGTTATTTTGCACCTCATTTAGTGACGTTTTCTTGTTCGATTATGTATAGGTTTCGATGGAAGCAGCAATATCGACGGGTATATCCTGATGAATTCTACAAGAAATACGAAGCTCGGTAATTGCTTAGTTTTGTAATCTTATCTGACCTCTCCCTCATCTAGTTAATGTCATGAGATTGGATATATGTCTCATAGGATAATCGTGAGACTAATTGTTGCAATTTAGGGTTGATGGAAACTATTATCTGTATATCATGTTGTTACAGTTTATGAGTTCCTCCCTCTGTTTCATCACAATTACCGCTTTTGGTGGAATATAATATTTGTTGCATGCTACAAAAAATGGTTTGGAAACATAATCTACATATATGTCTATTATAATGTTTACCAATTATCTGGAGTTTACACCCTCTGTGTAGGTGATTTATTGTGTCTAGATGGCTTGTCATATTGGTGTACTATTTACAAACTGGTTTACATTTGTCCTTTATTAATGTGCTATAGCTATTGGCAAAATTATGAAAGTGAATTACAATATAACCCACTAGAGATCAGATTGATGTAATATTCCTGTTTGTAATTCATTTGTTTGCCTAATTCTGTAATCTAGCTCCAAATGACTAGAATTTGGCTTGTAGAAGTTGTGAATGACCTAAGGTAAGAAAATACAAGTCTGTGACTGTAACTAATTACAAATCGAGGTTAGGTGTTATTATATATGCATCTTCAGTAAGCTCTTTTCTTGTTCTTCTTGGTGTCAACTCGTGCATTATCCATAAATATATTACCTACTTATGTTTATCCTCTTTGTTTGCATTTTCTGGCAGAGGAAAGGGTGATTATCAAATTCACTACAAACCAGCTTCACGGATCACTGAAGCTGACAAAGCAAATGATAAGAGGTATTAGTAGGTGTTTCTTTTATGCATAGCATTTTTGTGTCACTAGTTTCTGATACATTAGATCCAATCGGATAGGCTGGCAGAACAAATACTTTTGGATCAAAGGTGATTGGGATTCAGTCACTTTGTTATTGCAGGTGCTGGCTACGTACAGCCGACCCCCACCCCATCCTGTCATAAGTGAGAGCCTCTTAGTAGGTTTAATGTCTTTGTTGCAATTTGATGCATAAATTTTACTTGACTACATCTTTCTGAATATTTCTATACTTTATGCATAAATTTGATGCATATATTTGATGCATACCTTTACTTGATTACTCATCTTTGTAGGTTTAATAGTTTGAAAAGATTGCTGACTCACATGATATCCTGTAATTAACCGATTAAGACTGACATCTTATGGTATTTTTGCCGCTGTTGTCCTCTATTTTTTTGATATTGTGTTAAATCAATGATCTCCACTGTTCTATGTACCTTGACATGCTCGTTTTTATTGGCATCTTCTTTCTAGGGATACCAAAAATAATTAAAAGAATAACCTTGCTGTGAGCCTGTGAAGTAAAATTTGCTATAGCTGCTTCGTCCACATGATTTCAGAGTATGCTGTTAGTGCCCCCAAACTTCTTTTCCCATTTTTCCTTTTTAGCTTTTTATTTTTTGGTCATCCTTTGTGTGGACAACTGTATGTGTGAAAAGCTTCATATAAGACCTTTACCTTCCTGTTCGAAAGAGTGGGGTTGTGTTTCTGTGAATTGTTATTGTGGGTCTGGAATACTTGATATATGTTTATGTATAATAAACATTAAACTATTTCCATTTTTTTCCTTTAAGGTCACTGCAAAGAGCTCTAGATCGGAGGCTTTATCTTCTCCTTCATGGAACTTCGTATGACTCTTCTGATGGGAAGCCTGTTTGGCATCTTCCAGAAAAGGTCTATGATAATGAAGAGACGCTGCGGAAGGTTGGTAATCTTAGAAAGTGGTCTCCCGTCTTTGTTTTTAGTCTGTTTTTTCCCCTCGTAATCCACCGCTCATTTCAGTGTGCAGAGTCTGCTCTACAATCTGTTCTCGGTGACCTTACACACACATATTTTGTCGGAAATGCACCCATGGGCCATATCGCTGTACAGGCAGCTGACAAAGCAGATCCATTGAAGGTGTGTCTCAATGTACTGCACAAATAAATTTTCATCTGTTGTATTTATATGCCTGAAACACAGAAATGAATTATCTTATCCTATTTTTTTATAGCAGAAATTCTTCTTCAAATCACAAGTAATTTCAGCGAACTTGATTAACGTTAGTGGATGTGATGACTATGTTTGGGTGACCAAGGATGAACTATTGGAGTATTTCCCTGACCAAGCTGAGTACTTGAAGCAGATGATTATTAGTTGATTGGCATATGGTGGTAACCAAAGATTAAAAGAGTAATATTGTAGACCTCCTTAGCCTTCAACTAGTGGAGTACATGTATTGTGATCTGTGGAGTCATCCAAAATTCATGCTAAATTGTGACTTTGTGAGGTGATAGATGATTAAGCTGTTTCGAGTTTTGTTTTGGTTTCCTGAGGAAGATTAGGTTTTCCGTTCATGGTATCTCAGCAGCATCCAAAGTGCAATCTTTTGAAAATAAACTATGCTTCTATTACAAGGCTAATGAAATTTTGTTTGTTAATCTTGTAACTATGACAGTTTAATTTATCAATATATCCAATGATGTTTACTGAATAGGAAGCACTAAATTATAAATGCAAATTCATATGATTTTTAAGTCGTTCATATGCTCTTATATTGAAGATCTTATAACTCCTCTCAAATTGGCAGAAGAGCCCTTGATCAATAGGTGATTTTATATGATTTTACTGATGTATAAGGGCGTGTTTATCCCATAGACTTAAATCTAACTTTCAACAAACTTTTACCTTCTTATTCGGAATACAAAATTATTTACCTTTTTACATTTTAAAATTTAATTGACTAAGAAAAGTTCTTTTGCTTCTGGTCAATCACAACTAGTTAACTTTTGTACTATTCATATGCTATTGTTAATCACATTATTTTAGTTGATAATATACAAGGCTCAAATGTAGTTATAAAACGTTGTTGGATTAAGTTTGATGTATATTTTTTAATATATCTTTTTACAAGGTAGTTTAGACAATGATGATCAAAGTTGTGTATGGAGAATTGGAGGGAGTAGCTTTTAGAATTATTTTGCATTGAAGACATTCCCCACACTTGCCAAGACCTCTAAGGCACTAATTACAAAGGGATACTACCCTTTTGCCATTTGATCTAAACACTTGGTGTTGTAAAACACTCCTTAACAATTAGACTATTAAGAGCCTATTCACTTCAGCTTAATTTCAGTTCAGTTCAACTCCAATTAGTTCAGTTCAGTTCAGCTCCAATTAGTTCGATTCAGTTCAGTTCAGCTTTTAATTTCCTTCTCTCATAAAATATTCATTTTAGCTCTATTCACTTCAGTTCAGCTTCAATCAATTCAACTCGGTTCAATAAATGTGAACATGCCCTAACATCAAAAACAAAGAATATTGAGAAACTCTAAATTGATCAACAAATGCACATTTTAACACTCCAATAAAAAAAATCAAGCACCAAACTCTACTGTCTGTATTATCCTAGAAACAGAGGCTAATTTATGACCCAAGTTAACCAAATAGCTTAACTTCAATATTTTCACTATACATGTTGAATACTCCTAAACAATGTGCATCATTCCTAACTCGATGCATTGCAACCAAAGACCTGCAATTTGGCAGAGTTCTTCACTCTTACTTCATAAAAACATCCTTCATTCTAAACTCTTTTATCTCGAACCGCCTTGTCGAGTTATATTCCAAATGCAACTCCATTGAAAGTGCCCAGAAAGCTTTTGATGATCTCCCTGAGAAGAATAATTTCTCTTGGAACACAATTATTTCTGGGTACTCTAAAAATGGTCTTTTTGATCATGCACACCAACTGCTTGATAAAATGCCTGAACCAGATATTGTCAGTTACAACTCTGTGGTTTCTGGGTTAGCCCATTATGGGTTTTATAGTGAGTCCTTGTGTTTTTTCAAGAAGATGCAAACTGTGTGTAGTGGGTTTGGGTTGTTCTTGGATGAGTATACAATTGTCAGTGCTGTTAGTAGTTGTGCTGTTTTGGGTTCCAAAAATTTGCTGCAACAACTTCATAGTGTGGCAGTTGTGCTTGGATTAGAGTATGATGTTGTCATATGTAATTCTTTGATTGATGGTTATGGTAAATGTGGTCATCCTGATTTATCTTACTCGATATTTGCTCGAATGCCTGAACGAGATATTGTATCATGGACTTCGATGGTTTCTGCCTATGTCAGAGTGTCTAGGATGGAAGATGCTTACTTGGTTTTTAAGCAAATGCCTGTGAAGAATTCAGTATCCTGGACTGCATTGATCACTGGTTTTTCTCAAAATGGGGAAGGAATTGAAGCTCTCAATCTCTTTGATCAGATGCAGAAAGATGAGGTTCCACCTAGCGCCTTTACATATGTTGCTGTGTTAGGTGCTTGTGCTGATTTAGCACTTGTAGAAAAAGGGAAACAACTTCATTGTCGAATCATTAAATCAAACACCAGAGTTCCTTTGATGAATTCGTTTATTTATAATGCTTTGATTAACATGTATTGCAAGTGTGGAAACATTAGATCAGCAAGGCTAGTGTTTGAGAGGATGCCGAAAAAGAATGATGTTTCTTGGAACTCCATTATAAATGGGTTGGCTTATAATGGACATAATGAAGAATCGCTTGCAGTGTTTGAAAGGATGATTATAGCAAAAGTAAAGCCTAATGAAGTCACATTTCTCGGAGTGTTATCAGCTTGTTGCCACACAGGTCTAGTTGATGAAGGCATGAGAATTCTCAACTTAATGACAAAGCATGGTTTGAAGCCAAGACCAGAACACTATGCTATCATGATTGATTTGCTTGGAAGAAAGAACAGACTTAATGATGCAGTAGAGCTTATTGAGAGAGCTCCTGCTGTTTCTGATCATGTTGGAATGTGGGGTGCACTCTTAGGTGCTTGCCGGGTCCATGGAAACACTGAGCTTGCTCGTAAGGCTGCAGAAATGCTATTTAAATTGGAGCCAAGTAATGCTGCTAGATATGTGATGCTGTCAAACGTTTATGCAGCAGGTAAAAGATGGGATGATTCTCGTCATGTGAGAAGGCTAATGGGTGAGAAAGGATTGAGAAAAGACGCGGGTTTAAGTTGGATTGAAGTAAAGAATATCAGGCATGAATTCGTTGCCAAAGACATGTCACATAGTTTTCGAGAACATATATATGAAGTTATCCATGAATTGGTGGATCAAATGAGTGAAGTGGGATATTCTCCTTGTGTTGAGATAGGTCTTGAAGAAGATGAATTGTGTGATTATGATCCAGGTTTTTTTATGACTTAAACAAGTACTGATTATTTTTGAGCTCATGCAATAGTGTGATTTCATCACTCTGCTTTTTCTTCAATTTCAGCTGTAAAATCATCTACCTCCTCAACTTATTTGTGAAACCTATAAATGAGGTTTCTGGAGTAATCACTTGGGTCAAAAAATTATGCAACAAGTGTAAGTAGGCTAACTATGCATGTTGTAGTACATTGAATTCAAGTTTTTGCCTTTATATATAAATTAGCTTATGGTCCCGTGCAATGCACGGATTTACCAAAAATTATAAATATAATTATTTTAACAACTTTTTTATATAGTATTTTTTTTAATGATAAGCATGAAAAAATTCGATATTCTGCTAATTATATTAAAAATTATGCATATCTTTTTAAATAATATTATTTTGCTTAAATTTTCTATAAGTTGTTACAAAATGTTTTATTGAATTTGGGACGGAAAGATTGTGTTTAAGTAGGAAAGTGTTTGGGGTAAAAATACCCTAAACGTGGCCCAATGGCCTAGTGACACGTGGCATCCAGCCGTTGGTCAGCAGGGCTCCAATCCTCTGCTGACACGTGTCCTCTAAACCCAAAAAGGGGAACCATCCCTTCCCCACTATAAATAGTGGAAGGACCCTCATTAATGGGGGTTGGAACATTTGTTGTTCACATTGAATACTCCTCAAAAAGAAAAACACTTACCCCGAGCAATATTAATTGCAGAATTCTCCCATTACGCGAGAAGTAACTTCCACATTACGTGCATTCTACCTCCCGTATCTTTACTAACTTGATCGTCGGAGGCGGAGCTCCTACCGCCAGGAGTCTTCGTGATTTTGCAGGCACAGGCGTCGAAGGGCATTCTTGGAATTGTAACTCTCCCGCAGGACACATCAAAAAACCCCGAAACATTTGGCGCCGTCTGTGGGGAGAGTACTTCTAAGATGACTTCTGATACTGTGTCACCGAATCAGGGAAAACGGCCTGTGGTCGAGCCTGAGGTCCAGACGGACCATGAAAGTGGCGACGAGATTGAAACATATGTGGCCCCGGATGGGTCTTTCAGAACGAAGCACCCTCGTGCTAAAGATAGAAGAGAACGGGAAATCAGCCAAGCTGCTCCCAACAACCCAGCCGGGCAACCGGATGGAATTGCCCAAACGGTAGAGGGCTCAGCCCCCGTTACAAGAAACGAACTCATGTCTTTCATGAATAGTTTCAAGGGTGAGATCAAGAGCCTCATCCGGTCAGCTACTCCAAAGAAGGGTCAGCCGGCCAAGAAGCCTTCTGGAAAGAAGGCGGTCAAAGAACGAGTTCCTACCCCTCATCCCAAGCCAAAGGAGGGGGAGGGCTTAAGGTTTGATCCAAGCAGACTCCGTTTTCCTCAAGGGGAGCTGCGAAAGGCCATCCGGCACGTACAGCGGATGGCTCCAAGAAAACATTCTCAGACGCCCGCACATTTCTCCAAGAGAAGCGAGGTCAGGCGTCTGCGTCGGCCTCAACGTCGACCTTCCCGGACAGTTTCCATGACGTCTCACACAGGCGTACGGGAACGAACCTTAGGAGCCAGACGGGCGAAGCTTCTGCCCGGTCTGGTCCCAAAGTGATCCAGCCTGGCCTATTCGGCACACCGAATGGGTTGGGTGGATCCCCTTTCATGTCACCGGGTCTTTTCGGTGGGCAAGCGCAGCAGCCGTTCCAACCCACGGACTGGCAGCTGCGCCTGCTAAATTTGGGGGAACAGCCAACGGCGTTCTCACCAGAGATAACCTAGGCGGCACAGCCGCCTAAGATCAAGAATGTTTTGGTGGGGGCCTATGATGGCACCACCAGCCCAGAAGACCATCTAATGGCCTACTCTAACCTCATGTACCTCCAGGGGTTAGATGATGCCGTCTGGTGTCGATGCTTCTCGGCTACCCTCAAGGGCATAGCCCAGCGGTGGTTTGGTAACCTACCAGCCGGGTGCATCAACAGCTTTCGAACTTTGGCGTACTTGTTTACGTCAAATTTCTCAATGAATATTCCTGCCAAAAAGACTAGCCTCGACCTAGGGGCAATACAGCAGGGCGACCGGGAGGGCCTCCGGTCGTACGTCAGACGGTTCAATCTGATGAGAATTCAGATTCCAGGACTATCAGACGAAGTGGCCTATACAGACTTCTTTCGAGGTCTGAAGGATGGGTCGACCTTTAAGTTTGACCTCGTCCGGAAGAGGGTTGCTACCCTCCAAGAGGCGTTAATTGAAGCTGAAGCCTATATACAGGCGACGGAGCTTTGTGCTGTCAAGCAGCTGTCAGATTATAAAAAGTCTGACAAAAAAGAGAGCCGGCAACAGCATCAGCCGGCAAGAAAGGAAGAAAAGAGAAAAGGGGTCTGGGCAGCTGACTGATCAGGACAGCCGGCCCAGAAGATCAGGCGGAAGTCAGAACCATATGTCCCCAAATACGAGTTCACAAAAGATTGCTCCACCATCCTCCTGGAAATCAAAGACCGGATGTCTCTCGACAAACCGGCTGAAATGAAAAGCCCCGTGAATAAACGGGACAAGAGCAAGTATTGCCAATACCACGAGGATGTTGGCCACGACACCAATGGCTGCTATAGCCTCAGGCGGCTATTGGACCGTCTGGCAGATGAGGGGGCCCTAAAATCCTATCTACCCAAGGCTAAGGGTAATACCCAGGCCAAGAAAGGGCAGGCGGCAAAAACCGGCCCAGTAAACTCCGAGACGGATGAAGAGACCATCTTCACCATAGCAGGCGGTTTTGCCGGAGGGGGTCCCACCATCCGGGGCACCAAAGACAACATCAGGAAGCTGGTCAACTCAGTGGATGAGGGCCAGGCGTCGAAAGACATCTTCCCTGAGGTCCTTATTTCTGAAAAGGACCGGGGCAAGGTCAGGCGGCCTCATGATGACCCCATCGTCATCGAATGCAAGGTTGGCCGGATCCTAATAGACACCGGGAGCTCGCCTGACCTAATCAGTTATCAGTGCTTGACCAAGCTCAAGTACACATCCGGTAACATGCACCAGGCTCCTCACCCACTAGTCGGTTTTGGGGGTGGAGTAGTGCACCCGGTCGGAAGCATAGATCTTCCGATCCGGCTGGGTGAAAAGGGGCAAGGACGCCACATGATAGTCAAGTTTTTAGTTGTGGAGGATCTGTCCGCCTACAACATGATATTTGGCCGTCCTACCCTCAACGCATCTAAGGCTGTCATCATCCCGTCCCTCATGTTGGTCAAATTTCAAAAGGATGATGGTACAGTCGGTGCCCTAAGCGGGGACCAGAAGACGGCAAGAGAGTGCTATCTCTCTGACGTCAAGACAATTATGGGTGCAGCCGGCCAGGGCGAGCCCATAGATATTGATAACTGCGACCCAACAGTCCCGGCTCCAAGGGCAGCCGGTATGAAAAGAAAGGCGGACCAACTGGCACCCGTCAAAAAGGAGAAATAGCAATCACTAGCCGGGGAAAGGTCAGATGACCAACGACCTCAGCCGGCTGGTGACTGCCTTGATGTCATCCTAGATGACAGCCGTCCTGAAAGAACAGTCAAGGTCGGGACGGTAGCCTTCGAACGGTTGGGAGAAGGTTTGCTCCAGCTGCTGAAGGAATTCAAAGACATCTTTGCCTTTGAAGTGGAAGAGATGCCAGGCGTCAGCCCGGATCTTTCTGTCCACAAACTAGCCGTAGATCCCAAAAAGCAGCCGGTTAGGCAGAAAAAGAGGGATCATGGTGGAGAAAGATCTCAAGCGGCAGCGGCTGAGGTCAAAAAGCTGTTGGATGCTGGATTCATTAGGCAATGCTACTACCCGGATTGGGTGGCAAATGTCGTTCTAGTAAAGAAGTCGAACGGTACTTGGCGGATGTGTGTGGATTACACAGATCTGAACAAAGCATGCCCAAAAGATAGCTACCCGCTTCCAAAGATTGACAGCCTAGTCGACTCAACAGCCGGCCATGCGTTAATGAGCTTTATGGATGCTTATTCCGGCTTCCATCAAATACCTCTCTGGAAGAAAGATCAGGAGAAGACGGCTTTTGTCACTGATCAGGGGTTATTCTGCTATACGGTGATGCCGTTTGGGTTGAAGAATGCACCGGCTACATTCCAGCGCATGATAAACACCGTTTTTATCAACCAGATTGGCAGGAATGTAGAGGCGTATATCGATGACATGATAGTCAAATCCAAGCTACAGACGGATCACCTAGCAGACCTGCGAGAAACCTTCACCACACTCAGGCGGCACCGGGTCATGCTTAACCCAAAGAAATGCGTATTTGGTGTTGAGTCTTGGAAGTTTCTCGGATTCTTGATTGACCAAAGAGGCATCGAAGCTAATCCGGAAAAAATACAGGCGGTAATTGACATGAAGTCTCCCCGCACTGTAAAAGAAGTCCAGAAGTTGACCGGTTTTCTGGCGGCATTGGGGAGGTTCCTCAGCCGGTCAGGTGACAAGTGCCTCTATTTCTTTCAGGCAATCAGGAAGAGGTCAAGGTTTGAATGGGGTGAAGAAGCAGAGGCGGCATTCCAGAGGCTTAAGCAGCACTTGCATTCTTTGCCAAGGCTAGTGAGCCCCCTACCCCGGGAGGTTCTGTACATGTACCTAGCCGTCTCTAATCACGCCCTTAGTGCCGTTCTCCTCGCTGAGAGAGACGACATTCAGCTGCCGGTGTACTTCATCAGCCATGTCTTAAAAAATGCTGAGCTCCGATACCCCATGATCGAAAAATTTGGGTTGGCCTTATTCGTAGCAGTCAAGCGGTTGAAGCCTTATTTTTTGGCACATCCAGTTGTGGTATACACAGATCAGCCGCTCAAGCGTACGATGACTGCTATAGAGTCATCCGGTAGAATGATCAAGTGGGCTGTTGAAATACAAGGCCTTGAGATAACTTTTGAACCCAGGCGGGCAGTGAAAGGTCAGGCGTTTGCCGACTTTATTGTCGAGATGACTAGGCCGGTGCACCCGGAAAACCCTGATCAGGTCTGGAAGTTATTTGTAGACGGCAGCTCTACGGTGAACGGTTGTGGTGCAGGTGTTATCTGTCATTCCCCGGAAGGGGATAAGTTTGAATATGCACTACGGTTTAAGTTCCAAGCCTCCAACAATGAGGCAGAGTATGAAGCCCTGCTAGCCGGATTGCGCATGTGTAAGGCAGCCGGTGCAAGAAAGGTCGACGCCTGCTCAGATTCACAGCTGATCGTTA